GAATGTTGTAAATTGGGAATGAAGCAGATGAATTCCTTTTATACCGTGGGTAGAGGAGAGAGAAAGATCATCCCCAAATCTTCTTGATACAATAAAACGGTTTCGGATTTGACTGAAGCGCGACGGTTGGCACCCCCGATGATTACGCAGGAGAGAGAAGAACTGTTCCGTTTTGCACGCGTGCCCATCACCTCACTATTGAGGCCGTTACTCTGTCGGCTGAGTCAGCATCTTATCTGTTTAATAGCTGTCATCCAAACATAAGATTATAAAGTAACCGAACGAGAAGTTTGGAAAATCAAAGATTTTCGTGCATAGAGTGTAAAAGATAAGGAAATAAAGCGAGATATATAGGGGAAGAGTGATGTCAAATTAGACACAAAACTGATGATCCCGGGCACGAATCACTTTCTTCAAGGTCAAGAGAGACCTTAAAGTGTTTGTATGGATTCCCGTTGAATTACGATCAAGCACTTTCTAAGAAGTGTTGAAAGGCATCTTTTTGTTAGGCATAATAGGGTGGCTTTCGCTTCAATTTAGAAACCCGGACCTTGACATAAGACCGAGACTAAATGAAGTACTTGTGAGACCGATGTGGTCTGTTGAACAAGTAGGCTGGATAACAGATATAGTGACTTGTAAAAATATATGATGGTGAAATCTCAAAAAAAATTAAACTGGATTCTAGGGGAAGAAATGTTATGGTAAATAACAAATTCATAAGAATCGCACAAACAAAGAGAGATTTCATGTTAACCGTCAATTCATGATAGGTATTGAATGTTGGGTTTCACTAAGCACGTAGTGACACGTGGCTTAGATCATAAACACAGATATTTTGCAACCATAAACCTCAGTGGTTAATTCTGAGAGTCTCAAGGGTTACGATATGGGACCGAAATATGATGGAGAAGAGAAGGTGGTGAAGAAAAGCGATAGTACCTCTGCTGAAAATAGTGACCAAGCAGAAACTCTCAACTCATATGAGAAAAGAGTAAGGTAGCTCAGGATTAGAATAAATGAAGCAGCCTTATTGGGAAGACAAGGTTTGTATATACCTAGTCATTAAGGCTTTTATTCAAAATCAGTTGAGGCTTTTGGACAACATGCAGCAGCATGCTTCTAGGGACGCTTAACTAGGTAAAATAAAGAATGAGACAAAAATTTAGAAAAAAAAATATTTTTGGAGATTTTAAGATTGAAAAGAGAAAAACCAAACAGAATAAAAAAAAAAATAAACCGAACCCGAAATGGACCGAACGTTCGGTTCATTTCGGTTCGAAAAAAATTTTTGGATTTTTGGAAAACAGTTTTACAAAAGGGAAAAACTAATACAGAATAAGAAAGAATGATGCATAATAATAATAAAAAAAAATTTAACCGAACCCGAAATGACCGAACGCTCGGTTCATTTCGGTTCCTAAAAAAAATATTTTTGGATTTTTAGAAAAACAGCTTTACAAAAAGTGTACAACCATAGACAACACCTTTTTGAGATTTGAGCGAAAATATGTGTTATGGGACCGAACCCGAAATAGACCGAACGTTCGGTTCATTTCGGTTCCCATGTGAACCGAACCCGAAATGGACCGAACGTTCGGTTCATTTCGGTTCATTTCGCTCCTTACTTTTTAACTTTGGGATGAAGTCTTTGGTACTGATTCAGATTCCATCATTCCTAGACCATGAAGGATTTTATTGAAACTGGCTTCAGGTAGAGCTTTGGTGAAGATATCTGCCAGTTGATCGGTGGTGCGAACAAAGTGAATTTCGACATTACCATCCTCCACATGATCCTTAATGAAGTGATACCTTAGTGCTATATGCTTGGTCTTAGAGTGTTGCACTGGGTTGTGACAGATCCTAATTGCACTTTCTGAGTCGCAATATAGTGGGATCTTTTTCATGTTAAGCCATAATCCCGGAGCTGGCTTTGGATCCATATTACTTGAGATGTGCAGGAGGCGGCTGCAATGTACTCTGCTTCGGCTGTAGAAAGGGAAACGCATGTTTGCTTCTTTGACTGCCAGCTGACCAATTTCCCATCAAGAAATTGGCAACCCCCTGTGGTGCTTTTCCTGTCTAAACCACATCCTCCAAGGTCTGCATCAGAGAAGGCTTGAACGAAGAAGCCTGAGTTGGATGGATACCAAAGACCGAGAGAGGTAGTTCGCTTCAGATACCTAAGTATGTTCTTCACTGCAAGCATATGAGGTTCTCGTGGGTTTGCCTGAAACCTAGCACAATAACATACGGAAAACATGATGTCAGGCCTGCTAGCAGTAAGATACATCAAAGACCCAATCATCTGGCGGTATAGCGTAATGTCAACTGCTGGTTTCTCCAGTGAAGGGGTGAGTTTGGTTCCGAAAGCCATTGGAACTTTGACCTTTGAATCTCCCTTCATACCAAATTTGGCAAGAAGAGTTTTGGTGTATGCTTCCTGGTTGATAAAGATGCCTTCGGGTCCCTGTCTAATATTTAATCCAAGAAAAAATTAATCGGACCCATGGAGCTCATTTCAAATTTAGTCTCCATCAGCTTTCTGAATTCAGCTGTTAAGCTGGGATTCGTTGAGCCAAAGATGATATCATCGACGTAAATTTGTACAATCATAAGGTGGTTACCTTCCTTTTTACGAAAGAAGGTTGGGTCAACCGAACCTTGTTTGAATTTAGACATCTTTAAAAACTTTGTTAGCGTTTCATACCAGGCCCTAGGAGCTTGTTTCAGACCATAAACCGCCTTGTCCAGAATATAGCAGTGATTTGGGAACTTCTCATTGACGAAGCCGGAGGTTGCTCCACGTAGACTGTTTCTTCGAGTTCTCCATTCAGAAAAGCACATTTGACATCCATTTGGTAGACCTCGAAGTTTTTGTGTGCTGCATAGGCCAGAAAAATGCGAACAGATTCCAGCCTTGCAACTGGAGCGAAAGTCTCTTCATAGTCAATCCTTCCTCCTGACAGTATCCTTTCACGACCAGACGTGCTTTGTTTCGAATCACATTCCCTTCCTTGTCCATTTTGTTCCTGAAAACCCATTTGAGACCTACAACTGATGCATTTTGAGGAGTTGGAATGAGGCGCCAAACTTTGTTCCTTTCGAATTCGTTCAGTTCGTCTTGCATAGCTTGAACCCAATCGGAGTGATCAAGAGCAGTGTTAACTGTCTTGGGTTCAACTTTTGAAACGAAAGAATTAAACATACAGAATTCTACTTTGGAGAATAGGGAAGTTTGTTTTTCTTTAAGTTGTGATCTGGTCAGAACCTTTTCAGAAACATCACCTACAACTTGAGAGACTGGATGATTTCTGGTCCATTTGATGAGAGGAGGGTAATTTGGATCATAGGAAGGATCCAATTCAGCGTTTACCATCTCTTCTGGTTCGGATTGACTTTCATCGTCAAAGAGCATATTGGCATTCTCCCCCTCGAATGAAGAGCTTTCTGAAACAGTCGGACTTTCGGGTATATTGAAGAGTTTGGGTGCTCCTGTGCCTTCAGATGCTGTGGAGTGATCAGATGCTACAGTACCTTCGGGTGATGCATTACCTTCAGGAGCTGTTGTGCCTTCTGGTGTTGTGGAGCGTTCAGGTGCTACAGTACCTTCGGGCGCTACAGTACCTTCGGGTGCTGTTATATCTTCTGGTGTTGTGGAGCGTTCGAGTGCTACAGTACTTTCGGGTGCTGCAGTATCGGCGTGCTCCCCCTCGACTGATGCTCCGGAACTGGGCATTTCTTCATTCATTCGCCTTGCAGCATCTTCTACTAGTTGCTTCAGATGATCCACCTTGTTGTCTGCTGCGCTGGCTTCCGAATTAATAGCCTTCTCTGGTTCATCAAATAACTCAACAAACTTCTCAAAGAGATTTGCAATTGATGCTGTGACTTGACCTGTTTGAGGAAAGATTTCACCAGTTGAGTTTATGTTTGCTGTTGACTTTTTGACATAGCTATCATCAAAGGTCACGTAATACGTCTCTTCTATTTTCCTTGAACGTTTGTTTAATACCCTGTACGCTTTAGAAGTGAGAGAATAGCCCAGAAAAATGCCTTCATCGGCTTTGACATCAAATTTGTTGCGATGCTCTTTAGAATTGAAGATGAAGCATCGAACCGAACACATGGAAGAATTTGACATTCGGCTTCCTGTTGTTTATTATCTCATAAGGAGTGAGCGTGAATCGCTTATTGAGATATGACCTGTTCTGTGTAAAGCAAGCTGCAGATATAGCATCAGCCCAGAAATATAAAGGTAAAGATAGCAAAACTTAGCATGGTTCGAGCTGCTTCACACAAGGATCGGTTCCGCCTCTCAACTATACCGTTTTGTTGAGGTGTGTAGGGAGCTGAGAAGTTGTGGGTAGTTCCTCTTTCCGCCAGGAATTCTTCGAATTCTTTATTTTTGAACTCCAGGCCATTGTCACTCCTGATGTTTCGAACTACTTTCTTCAGTTATACCTCCACCTGCTTGATGAACATCTTTAGCTTGTGAGTCGCTTCAGATTTAAGCTTTAGAAAGAACACCCATGTACACTACTAGAAAAAAGGCCTTTTACGACGCGCAAACAATGACACGCGCTGATAGAAGACACGCATTTGTACGTGCCCTAAAAAACAATGTCAGTTTTACAAAATCTGAAGGATAGAGGTCACGCATTTGTGCGTGCCCCCTACAATTAGTGTCAGAAAAGAAAAAAAAAGGAAATACGGAGGGCGCCTATCATAATCTGTGTGTCCTCTAAGTGTGTCACTTTATATTTCTTTAATGAAACACGCGTTTTAAGCGGGAAAATGAAATCCTCAAAAATTAAACAACCACCTATTCTATCTGAAAGTTTAACACCCCCCCCCCTCCGCCTCTTCCAATAAGAAAGAAGCCCTAGGGTATTGGTCCCTACTCTGATTGCTTTCCCTTGTCCCTTCGTCCTCCTCCTCCCTATCGTTTTTGGTCACTGATTTGCTGGCAGCGGTTGAGTCTCTCATACCGATTGTGAATGGACTGGGTCTCAAATGTTTGTCATTTGCTATTCAATTGCTCTTCTTCTTCCACACCGCCTTTGTCCTCTCTGTCGGATTTTGTTCCATCTGTGTTGCCCTCGATGGATGTTGCTTTTATCCCTAATTTTGGAAGTCGGTCCACCGAAATTACAGAAGTGGTTGATTGTTATGTATTAACTCCACCGTTGATTCTTGGTAAGGTTTTACTGTGTCTTTGTTTCCTTCGGTTTCCAATTTATTTGCCCTTCATCTACTCTACTGTCAATTCTTCTTTAGGGTTTTTATCGTATGTGATCTTTTTTGACTTCATGGATTCGACCTGATTTTTAGGAACGATGAAGGAACTTTATCGGTAGTGGAGATTCTCAAAAACAGGAATTTTATGTTCTGGACCTCACAAGGTCAGATATGGGATTAGAAGTCGGAGGTTCATGGTCGGATTGGAAGCATCAGAAATTAGGAAACGAAAATGGAAGAGGCACCAGGTTTGAATATCATTCTCTTCTTCTCCATATATGTGCCCTAGGTTTATTTCTCTTACTTTATCATTTTCTTATTTTAATTTGGGGCTCTCTGCATTCTCATAAATTTTGAGATAGTGTGAGATCTATGAGAGATCCAATCCAGAGCATGCCTGCGATTGTGTGGGAGTATGGGCGAGAGCATATATAGATATAATACAAGTATAGAGTGTTTATTTATAGCAGTCAAAAAGATTTTTGGTTCTAGATACGTATGTAGAGAATGAATTTTTGATTTTATTTTGATGGGAAATGTACAATTGCATAGTATATGCCAGGTGTTTGTAAAAATGCAAAACCATAAAGAAATTGAAAAACTAAGCATTTACATGATTTCTTTCTGTAACTCTAGTTATTTTACATTATATAATTGTTTCTTTTTGAAACCCAACCACTGCCTCATGCATTACCAACTGGTGTTGATGTAGAAGACAGGTTAGTTATAGAAGGAAATGGTAATACAGTTTCAGTAGATGATATAGTGGATAAGGTCACATCAATGGGTTTCAGGAGGGACCTTGTAAGAGCTTCTATGAGAAACCTCACAGAAAATGAATATGTGTGGATCTTAATACAGTTCTTGATAAGATGATGAACAACAAATGAAATGATCAAATCTATCTAATCTCCTATGATGTACAAAAATTGCAAAAAGGAACAAAATTGCAGCTACACGATGTACAAATTAAAGGTGTTGTTAGGAAGCCAATTTCATGCTTGCAAAAGGCGAATTTATGTCATTGTGGTAAGCGGTCTTTTCACTCTTAGTTTCCATGTCATTTGTATTATAACAAATGATTTGTGATTGATATTATATTTATATAAATCATGTTGTAGTTTGTTCCCACTTGGTAATCTTGTAATTTGCATATGCTTTTATTAATAGCTGATGTATAAGTGATAAAAGATCTATAGCATAATTTATCCCAGAATGTAGATATTGAATAACCTATATATTCACATCCAAATCCAAGAATTAGTAACGTACTTCTATTTGGCTTATTTTATTTTATTTTATTCTTTCATTCTATCATTACGATTTCAAAAAAAAAAAAAAAATCTTAAAGACATTATACTTTGAAGGAAGCTGGTAATTATCAAATAAAGAAGGAAGTTCTCAAAGAGGTGTGTGTGTGTGTGTATATATATATATATATATATATATATATTATAATATATATATATATATATCTGATATGTTAATGTTTTGATTGTTATCAGGGTGGACGAATGGCAGCTATAAACTTGGAGTCAAGAGCAGCTTTACTTGCAGCAGAACAGGTGATTGGATTTGGATATAAATATAATATATTTATATTATCACAATCTCTTTATTT